CAGAATACTCACTCCTCTTTAAAATGTACTATGATATTCCTGTGCAACCCATTCTCTATTGAGTTTGGCAGCTTCCTCATCATTAAGATGGGTTTCTTGAATAAGGGCTATATCAGCCTTTTTTTGTTTCAGATATGTGAGGATTTTTTTCCTTTTGACCACATTATTGCACCCTGATATTTTCCAAGTTACAATTTTAAACAGCTCCATATTGCTCTGCTAAGATATTATTCTACTACCATCACAACGAAGTGTCCCACTGTCGTGGTTGCCCCTCCTCTGATATTAGAAGTTTTCAGAAACACAGGATTATAAATATTAAAGCTATATCTGCATGAGACACCTAGGGTTACACACCAAACAAACAAATAAAAACTTAGAAACATACTGCAACAGCTGCCTACGAACATATTACTTTCCAACATCAAACCTTCTGTAGCATACATGAATCCCTCAGCTGCGCCTTCTAGGCCAGCCAACTCTCCCTTCCCCCGGGGTTTTTACCTAACACTTATATCCATTGCAAAATGCTATAAGTCCGTTATTAAAGCTTGACTGAACCACTACATCAGAATCCACCATAAATTCGCAAAATGACCGTGAGAGAGCTTGAATTTAACAGCGTATTATTCAGTGACAGCTGTATGAGACAGGGAGCAAAAGTAAAGAAAAAAAGGTGTTTACACATACGCACACACTTATATGTGCGCGCACCCTTACATTGAGAAAAAGAAACAAATTATATATCTTACCAGAGACTCTGACCTCGTACCATATAGGCCTAGGTCTAAGGATGACACTTTTAAGATTGTTCAATGATCTGCAATATTGCTAGTCGTCCATCCATAGATAATATCTCCGTTCCCGTTGACACCTCGAAGATCAGAGTACTGTCCTTGTTACCGGCACCAGACCTAGGGGAAATCTGGGCCGGCAGCAAAGGTTACACAGGCAAGGGTGTGCTGTGTAGCCAATAAAATAAGAGTATGTGGACTGTGGATTAATAAGAGAGAGGACCAAAAGTTAGTGTCTTGCTCCAGCCAGTGCTCGTTTAATACTGATAATACTGCATAAAACTCAGTTACATCTCAGTCATGTCAGCTATCTTAAAGTTGTTGCTTTAAAGTTCATTTTCCACATTCACACTAAAATATGTTACACAAAGAAAAATCAATGTAAAAATCTAATTGACAATAAACCATATAAAAAATAATGTCTCAAGTAAATTAAGTGCACATGAACTCAAAATAATTTAAATTATATTCCACAGAAATAAAAATTGGCTCAACTCAAATATGAAACTATACAAAAATAATATTACCCAAAACACACATTTACTTAACTCAAATACTTACACTCACTCCTACTGTTAACACATACAATACAATAACACTCATACTATACTGATATACTGGTTACAAAACCTCTGTGCAACATTTACATAACACTGTCTTAGCCTTGCACTTAATTGTCTGACAATATGGCGCGACAAGCAAGGATCTGTTAACGAGCGACCGGAAGTGAAACTAATTTGCATATGGCGACTCTCAAATTTACTCGCGGCTAACTGTCTTTAACTCATAAACAATGTTTGCAACACGTTTTCTTATGTTACCTCGAGCTAATGTCTGTAACTTACACTTCCAAAAATAGCTACTGGGGGAAACAGAAACTCACGGAGGTAATTAGACAAAATGGCGGCCGCGGCCGGTGTTGTGTCCCTACTGGTTTCCAATTTAACTGGTTTCCTTACCGAACAGCTGCAGATGTGCTTCGCCTCCGTCAGCAGATTTGTCACAAATTCACAAACATACACAACATATTACTGGCGATCTTAAAGTCGCAGCCCGCATCAACCACAGCGAATATGCTTCTGTAAGTGAGCACTACGTACCAGCGACATTAAAAAAAGAAAGGAAAGAAAATATGATATACACAAATTTACGTCAAGCTGGACTCGATTTCACATCAACAAAAGACAATATAACATAAACCGCATGTCTACCTGTGTGAGCCACTGAGACTCACAGAGCACACAGCTTTCCTCAGGTATTAGTAAATTACGTCAGCATCCAGGTAACATTTTGATCTGGACTGACCTGAGACAACTGGTTACCCTCGGCTTGCCTTGAAAGTACCCACACATATTTATCAATGTTTCTTGTTCTTTTTCCATGAGTCTACAAACATATTCAGTGCTACATTACAGTCTGTAGCCTACAACACTGCACACTATGACAAAGCCTGTCATGTTTAAAAAGTGACGATCTAACTCGCTCACTGCGTACCTGTAGAAACAGAGATAACAGCATGACGTCACCTCTCTCGGACCATGGCGACATTTCTTTTAGTGTGCATCCATAATTGTTAGTTTGTTCTTAGAGCTCATATGTCTCCATCAGAGCTAGCTGCCAGGTTGTCATATTATTGTTGTGCCATGGTAGTTAACGCATGTACAATTCCGTTTGCTTTTTTAAAATTTCGGTCGACTTTTTTTTTTACTCGGTCACGGAAGTCATTTAAAATGCAGCGAAGCATAATACTTAAATTAAAACATAGGCTACTGATGTAACACTCAAATTAGATTTTAAAAAGTGCAAGTACCTACACAAAAAACTACTCAGTTATAGTGACGTGAGTAAAGGTAAGTCCTTGCTTCACCTCTGTAATGATCCAGTGGCTCTAAGTGCTTGGTTTTTATTTACATATTATTAAGTGTATTTTGAGAGCATTTTCCGAGTTAGATCGTCATTTTTTAAACATGACAGGCTTTGTCAGTGTGCAGTGTTGTGCAGACTGTAATGTGGCACTGAATATGTTTGTAGACTCGTGGGAAAAGAACAAGAAACATTGATAAATATGTGTGGGTACTTTCAAGGCAAGCCGAGGGTAACCAGTTGTCTCAGGTCAGCCCAAATCAAAATGTTACCTGGATGCTGACGTAATTTACTAATACCTGAGGAAAGCTGTGCAGTCTGTGAGTCTCAGTGGCTCACACGGGTAGACATGCGGTTTGTGTTATATTGTCCTTTTGTTGATGTGAAATCAAGTCCAGCTTGACGCAAATTTGTGTATATCATATTTTCTTTCCTTTCTTTTTTTAATGTCGCTGGTACGTAGTGCTCACTTACAGAAGCATATTCACTGTGGTAGATGTGGGCTGCGACTTTAAGATCACCAGTAATATGTTGTGTATGTTTGTGAATTTGTGACAAATCTGCTGATGGAGGCGAAGCACATCTGCAGCTGTTCGGTAAGGAAACCAGTTAAATTGGAAACCAGTAGGGACACAACACCGGGACACAAACTGACAAAAATAACCTCTCTGTGCTCAAAATAGCCTACATCTCAAAACCATATCAAAACTCTACCGAACATGTTGTAATGCACTAACATTAAATATTAAGCAAAGCTGATCATAGAAAAGCAAGTTTGAACATACCTGTGGATTAATAAGAGAGAGGACCAAAAGTTACTGTCTTGCTCCAGCCAGTGCTCGTTTAATACTGAGCTGCACATGAGCAGAGCACATATCTCGAGTCTCCCTAATGGCTCCACAGTGGCGTTACAGTCCCATTTACTGACATATTGTAGGATTGACCTGGTGTCAAAACTGTGTAATTTGAGTTAGATTAGTTCAAATATTTAACAAAAAATTAGGGGGTGTCTGTTTCAATAAAAAAATATACATGTAGCATTTTGGACCTACTACATCCTCAGTCCGGAAAATAAAAACTCTGCTCACGTTAACAGCCCGAAAATCAGCATTAGTCAAAAAAATAAAATCTCTGCTCACGTTAACAGCCCGAAAATCGAAAATGAAGTCTCTGTCCACATTGGCAGGTGCTCCCTGCTCCCTGTTTCATAATGTATTTTCATGTATCGATTTCGGTGGCACAGTCTTTCTCCACTAGCCCCCGTTGTCCCCTCACCTTCGAGGCGATTGAGAAAGGCTTTGGCATCGGCCGCACACAAGAACTCGTGCCGCCGCTTGTCCAGTGTGAAAGTCGTTGCTGGGTATCGCAAGGCATATTCCACATTACACTTTCGGAGAATTCATCTCACCTCCTCGTATTTTTTGCGTTTCTCTTGTGCATAGTCTTGGAAGAAAAAAATCCTCGTACCGTTCCATGTGACTTGCTTCTTCTTTCTCGCCTCCGTTAACACGGCAGCCTTGGCCTTGTCCCGTAGGAACCGGACAATGATGTGTCTTGGCCTGTAGTTGTCCCCTGGCCTGGGGGCCAACCCGGTGGATCCTGTCAACTTCATACCAGTCATCGACATTAATATCCAATGCCTCCAATAGCAGTGTTTTCATAAAGCCATCCCAGTCACAACCTTCCATTCCTTCTTTCACACCCGCGATACGGATGTTTTGGCGCCGAGAAAAGCCTTCCAACACCGTTATTTTCTCTGTCAGTATGCAGTTTTGTCTCGATAAGTCATTCACCACTGGGGCCCTTTTTTCCTCTTCGTCCTCCAGTTTAGATAGCTATTCTGGATTCTGCCTCGGTAATTCTGCAGCCCAGACTTTTCACTGTCTTTTGTCTTTTGTGTACCTCTGGACCGGAAGTGATGAGGTGGAAGGACGCAAAGGAAGAGATGGTGGAGGACTGCCGCATTTATATCCAGCCGCCCCAACAATCAGTCACCAGCTGCGCCCAATAAAATGTGGCCACATGATGTGTAGATCTCTATGCTGCTACATTCGTTTATTTTGAAAGAGCATATATGCAAACTGTACATTTCCTGTAAAAAAACACGTGTGTATTTTGAAAACAGACAATGCATGTAACAGGCATGACCAAATGTTGATATGTGACAAGTTTGCAGTGAGAATGTGTTTTGTAAACCAACTCTAGATCAAGTCAGATATGTAAATGATCAGTGCCCAGTTAGAAAACTGAAGGCTTGTTCCAGCATATTTCTTAGTTTATAAAATAGTATTTAGTGACTGTGCCCTCACTCTGACTCTGTGTTCTCTGTCTCTGCCCTTACAGACAGTGTCACAGTAAACTGGACCACACCTCCTTCCTCACAGACTGTGTCTTTGATTTGTGTATGTACCAAGGCCATGCCTCTGCCCTATGCAACAGCCTATCAGCTTACAGCACCTCCTGTCAACAGGCCAGAGCTACAGTGGAGAGTTGGAGATCTGAACAGTTTTGCCGTAAGACATGCATACACACTTCAGTGTCCATCCACTCATCCAGGAGTAACTTGTTTTTTTGTTCACAATTCAGTCTATGCACAAACCTGGCAACCCCACAATGAGGACAGGACTTTTAAGGCAACTTTATCATTCTGCTTTGAGATGTTAATTTGTTAACTAACTAAGGTTTCACTAGCAAGAACCATGCCACAACAATATGTCGTTTAAAGGTTTAATGAAATACAGGAGTTATTGAATGTTGAGAATAGATGAATGGATGTGGGTGAGGAAGAGGGAGGATGTCATCTGTTAGGTTGGTCTGGGAGGATGTATTGAAGACCGGACGGAGGGAGACTCAGTGTGGGGGTTCCGTCTCAGGCGTATATATGCACCCAAGCTGATCACTGGCCCCCAGACGTGCCTAGAATGAGACATGGGAGAGGTATACACCAGATTGAAAACGATGGAAGGGGTGAAGTGATGAGAGGATAAAGGGGTGAGGGTAGGGATGAGGTAGGAGGATGATGGGATGAGGGGATGAAGGGATGAGGTAGGAGGATGATGGGATGAGGGTAGGGATGGGGTAGGAGAATGATGGGATGAGGGGATGAAGGGATGAAGGATGAAGGGTTGAGGGATAAAGGGATGAGGGATAAAAGGTTGAGGGTCGAATGGATGAGGGATGAAGGGTTGAGGGATGAACAGATGAGGGTCAAGGGTCGAATGGATGTGGGATGAAGGGTTGAGGGATGAAGGTTGAGGGTCGAGGGTCGAATGGATGAGGGATGAAGGGATGGGGGATGAAGGGTTGAGGGTAGGGATGAGTTTGGAAGATGGAAGGATGAAGGGAAGGGAAAGGGAGGGTGGGTCAAGAAATCTTGAGACAAACGGGGTAGGATGGGTTGACCCGGCATAAGTAGGCTTGGCAGGTGATTAGAGGTGTGGTTGAGGCGTGGTTCTGCTCCCGAACCTAAGCTAACTGGGCCCGTATTCACAAAGAATCCTAAGACTAAAAGTAGCTCTTAGTGACGTCATTCCTTTGTCATTTCCTTTGGTAAGATAAAAGTTATTCACAAAGCATCTTAGGCCTTAAGAGAGCTCCTAAGGTGAAAAACTGTTAAGAGGAGGGAGGAGGACTTTTAAGAAGCCTAAGAGTGTCTTAAACAGAGAAGATGGCAGAAAGACAGAGAGGAAGGAGAGATGTTCTCCGTATATTGAACGACAGTGATTTAATAAGACGCTACCGGCTTGATAGTGCAGGGATAATGTTTGTGGTAGATTTCATCAGGGATGAGCTTACTTTCCCACCCAGCATAGTAACGCAATAATGCCCGCTTTGGATTGCAGCACGTAGCAGCGCTTCTCACACTCATCACTTGTGCGTAAAAGGAGAGGGAATGACGTATTGATTTGTCGGGCAATGCGCTCCCCTCTTAAAACTCCCTTGTTCTCCTCCACGAGCTGTGCCAACAGCAGACACTGCTCTTCTGTCCAGTTTGGCTTTCTCGTTCTTTTTTTCTCCATTTCATTCATTGTTTTGGTCATTGTGCCAAATCAAACCGCTCTTTACCAGGAGGCCATCAATCACTGTAATTGCTGACAGCTGAGTCTGCATCCACCATTAATATCAAATAGATTAAGTAGTAAAATTACCAGCATGGCGAGTAAACATAACAATAAGCAAATCAATATAATAATTGGCATGTTAATGAGGTACGTTCAAACATTTTGAAGCTGTGTAACAATTAATTTAATTTTGCGTTTCATCATCATGACATAAAATTATTTTCACGATTACATATTTCTTAATACAGTCTAAGTTCTATGATCGGTTGATTTCACTGTCCATTCATTAGTAGGAGCGCATTTGTTTTTTCCTTTTTGTAACAACCAGTCACAGCTTTTAGAAGACTGCGTCATACCTAGCAACGGGGGCAACCACACCTCCTCACTAAGATAAAAGTTTCTGTCCCCTCCTTGCTCAGAGCTGCTCTCAGAAACTTCCTGAATCACTCTTAAGCTAAGATTCCTTGCAAGGAATTTTTAGGCTAAGTTAGGAGCTCTCTGAGAGGACTCTGAGAATCTTTGTGAATACAGGCCCAGGTTAACTACATTTCACTAGTAAGAACCACGTCACGACAATATGTCGTTTAAAGGTTTAATGGAATACAGGGGTTATTGAATGTTAAGAATAGATGAATGGATGTAGGTGAGGTAGAGGGAAGATGTCATCTGTTAGGCTGGTCTGGGAGGATGTATTGAAGACTGGGCGGAGGGAGACTCAGTGTAGGGGTTCCGTCTCAGGCGTATATATCCACCCGAGCTGATCACTGGCCCCCAAAAGAGTCAGATTTAAATTGAACTGATTTGAACATAAGCTCGACGGAGATCGTCAAGATTGTTGCAGATGTAGGAGCGATATGCTTGGGATGACCAGCGCCCTAGGACCTGAATGGTTTGGTCCAACGAAGGGTGCGAATGCAGAGGCTGAGAAGGTCTGAAGTGAGTGGCAAGCGCCTAGCTGGGAGAGCCAGCTCCTGTTTATGCAAGCCTTTTATTAACATACTAACATGAGAATGGGAGGTTGAAGGACAATGGAAGCCGGTGACAAGTTTGATGAAGAAGTTGATTCCTGCTAAGTAGGACTGGATGGTGGAGGACCGTATTTTTTGGATGGAATGAGCATGGGTGATGAAATTGCAGATGGACATGACGTCCAGAGAGGGAAAAGGTAGCTGGTAGGTGGAGTGAAATGCCTTGAAGCGATTCTAGCCAGTTTGTTTGGCTGAGAGTGTGCTTGGGTTAAGACTGTTAAGGATGGCTTCTTGTGAAGCATTAGAGAGGTTTGACAGCTGTGGAGCTAGTTGAATATTGTGGCTGAAAACGGTGGGATAGGTGTTGGGTGAAGATCCGATTCTGGGGCCAAGTGTCTGAATTTCTGGAACGAGAAGCGAGACATTGAGTCAGCATTGATGTTGTGATGACCGGGAACGTGGGCTGCCTTGAGGATGAACTGGTGTTGAGCTGAGAATAAGGTGAGTCTGCGCAGGAACTGCATGATGGCTAAAGAATGAGATCTACCTTTGTTCAGGATCTCTACGACTGCTGTGTTATCGGAGTGGATAAGTATGGACTTCCTAGACCATTCGTGCCCCCAAAGAATGGCAGCTATTATGATGGGATACAGCTCGTGAAGCGCAGAGGAAGGAGAGTGGGACTCTGAGTCGAGGGATTCAAACTCTGGGGGCCAAGCGGAGGCGAACCATCTTCCTCCATAGTAGCACCACATCTGTGAAAAGTTGAATGTCCTCAGGCTGGGTGATGAAGTCGTTGCAGAGGAAGGAAATGCCATTCCAAGAAGATAGGAAATGTAGCCACATGCGCATTTCCATTTTGCAGGCATCATCCAGAATGACCCTATCATAGAGAGAGGGAATGGCAGCAGCCTTAGACAAAAAGATGGACAAGAAAGATTTAGCTTGAGGGATTATGCGGATGGCATAATTGAGATGGCCAAGGAGGGCTAACAGCTGGCGTTTGGTGCATCTGTCTGCTAGGGGGTAGTTTGACAGAAGCAGAGAGATGCGCTGTATTTTCTCCAAGGGCAGAGATGCTTGGAAGAAATTGAGTCCAGGGTGATGCCAAGGAACTCAATGGAAGTGCCAGGTCCTGATGTTTTCTCCTTGGAAAGAGGGATGCCAAGTTCAGAGAAAGCGTTAGTGAGCGTATTGAGCCCGTGGCGAGGAGGTGAGGATGGTGGAGTGACGACAACAAAATCGTCGAGAAGATGGAGAATGTAAGGGAGCCTGTGGTTGTTAGTGAGGATCCAGCATAGGGCTTCTGAAAGAGAATCAAAGATCTTAGGACTACCTTTGCAGCCTGAAATAATATGCCCCCTTCCAGCAAACGCCAAAAAAATGCCAGAAGTCAGGATGAATGGGCAAAACTTTGAGTGCGCTGGTGATGTCTGCTTTAGAAAGCCAAGCTCCATGTCCTGCTAGCCGAATAACGGTGATGGCATGGTCGATGGTTGCGTATTGCATGGAGAAATCCGGACTGGGAATGACGCTGTTGACGCTTGGAATGTGAGACGTGTGGGGAAGACAGGTCCATAATTAGCCTCTTTTTTCCAGAGTATTTGCGAGTGGCAACACCTATTGGGCTGATGCGGAACAGAGGAAAAGGAGGAATATCGAACAGGCCTATCATGAATCCTTCTTTGACATCTTTAGCCAACAGGGTGTCGACAGTGTGAGGTTCTGCAAGAGCAGACTGGAGGTTGTGACAGATGTGGGAAATGTCAGGGAGAACTGTCATACCGGGATGAAAACCATGTGTGAAGCCATCTATGAGAAGATGAACAAGCTGTCTATCAGGATGGTTTTGTAGAGCAGTGGCAAGGACATTTACCGGAACGGGGGTGCTGAGGTGCTGTACAAGTTGGTCTGACAGGCAGTTAAAGACTGTGGTGTTGCATGAGGAAGATGGACGTGAGCGAGGTAGCGGAGCAGTGACAGTGCATGCTGTGGCAGGGTGAGAAGGGGCTCCACATAGCTCGCAGGAGAGGGACGTGCGGGCTGCAAATATGCGGCAGTAGAGTTCAGAGTCAAGGGTGCCCCAGTATGTTCCCTGGTTAAATTGCTGTATGCGGCCAGCTGCTTGGTTAGTGAAGTGCATGTGGATAGACCAGTTGGAAGTGAAGGAGGAGGCTGGAGATCACCGAGTTGGTTAGCCTGTGGTGGGACCCCTTGAGTTGCTGACTGAGGCTCTCCTGCTGCTGCGTTGGCTATTGGAGGAAGAGGAGCAGAAGCCGTGTTACTGGGAATGGCTGAAGGAAGGGTAGAGGAAGGGATGATGGGATGAAAGGATGTGTGTGCACAGGGATTTTGTGAAGCCTGCGAAGACAGGTATGAAAAGTAATCTGAAATCATCTGAGAGTATTCAGGAACAGAGGGAGCAGGCACAGGGGGACATACAACCTGGCCCCCACCAGAGGGGGCTGATGATGCAGGCTGTGGCTGAGGCAGCGACGGCCCTGTGACGTCACGCCTGACGACACCGGCAGTTGGTGGCACAGGTGAGGAAGCCGGGAGAGCAGTAGGAATGGAGTCTGTTGCTGCGTTGATAGAGGCAGAATACAGTCGAAGAAGTGTGGCTTTGTTGGTGTTGCGGTGAAATGGGATGCCCTCGCTCCGCAGGAAACGTTGGAGGCGAGTGACGTCCAGTCTCTGATAATGGGCTCAGTTTGAGGACGCGGAGACTGCCGCTTGCAGATGCGGGTGCGCCGTGTTGAAGAGCCGGGAGCTGGAAGCCTAGGCGATGGGGTCAGCTGTCGATGAGGAGAGGGTTGGAGCTGGCTCCTACACCCGTGCCCGCGGTGTCTGGTCCTCACTGAAGGAGGAATGGAGGCCTGAGATCTGTGGACCCCCGCGGTCCGAGTCGGAGTCGGAGAGATCTCGTTGGCGGAGCTTGAATGGAGACGCCGGGACTAAGGTACGCTGACCACTGAACGCAGGCGACCACGCCAGTGTGTTTGGCTGCATTCTGGTTGCTGCTGCGAGTCTGGTGGACCGGTGTCGAACAGATCGTCGAACGGATCGCCTCTGAATTGGTCGGGTAGATCTGCGGTACCGGATCCATGGTAGGTAACGTTAGACAATCTTTACGTTTTGTCTTGTTTGAATGGAAGTTTTCTCTGTGAAGCGTTTAGGTGAGACGCGCGGTCTGTCGCAGCTCGAGAAATCTTGAGACAAACGGGGTAGTATGGGTTGACCTGGCATAAGTAACGTAGGCTTGGCATGTGATTAGAGGTGTGGTTGAGGCGTGGTTCTGCTCCCGAACCTAAGTTAACAGGTTAACTCCATTTGCTAGAAAGGCCACACCTTTTATCACCTGTCAAGCATACTTATGCCTGGTCAACCCACCCTGCTTTGTTTGTCTCAGATTTCTAAGATCAGATTTTCTAATTTTCAAAGAGTCAACTCACCATGGATCCTAGGCTACAGATCAACCTGCCTGATTCAGATGACGATTTGTACGATGATCAGTTTGAAACCGGTTACTCTCCAGTCATGACATCATAGTCAGAGCACTAGCAAGAATCCCACAAGCATCCTAGTCGAGCTGCTTGCACTCAGTGGTAAACATACCATAGCTGGGCTGGCACCTTCAGCTTGCCTAATGAGATCTCCCAGTAGATCTTAGGCCTTCTCTCCTCCTTCCACAAGGACCAAAAACCGCAGACACCATAGGCATAACAGTGGAAGCTGACACCAGCCCTCTTCTCATCTGCAGCCTCTTGTACAGTCCCCAGCTATTCACCATGGTGCACTTGCGGTGCACCCTCCTCTTCAATTTGCCTGTCTCCACACTCATGGTGAGGCGAATGAGACTGTATAGTAGACAGTAGAGCAACTTTGATCAATATCTTCTCAGCCTCCATCAGTTCTCTGTCAGCACCATCCACTGAGCCTCCTACACTTCTGGCTTCCACATCAGAGCCAACCACCACTAGTGTTGTCACATGTGATGTCACAGGGCTTTTGCCACCCCCAGGGTCACAGCCTGTATCACCAGCCCTCCCAGGTGGGAGCCAGATCGTATAACACCCTGTGCTTGTTCCCTCTGTCTTAATATTCTCAGATGATACTTTCCTGTGCACATACATACAAAATAAAACTCACTAAAACTGTCATTGTGAGTTAGTCCACTGGTTCAACAATCAACAACTCTGGCTTGAAATAAACCCTTAATTCAGAGAATAAGATGTAAATTGATTATTAACCGATTCTAGAAAGTTATGTCATGTCACCCAAATTTTTGCATTGCTGCACTGGTTGCTCAGTACTTCTATAATACATTTTAAAATGTTATTAATATTACTATTTTAGGGTGTTTTTATTTTAATTTTATTGTCAGTATGTATTTAAAGTGTGCTTGTTTAAGTATCACTATGTTAGTCATTATATGCACTTCCATATGTTTTGCACTTTCATGTTTTAAATTCAAGAGTTTGCTCTTTTGACGGCATTCTATTTGCTTTATATGAGATCATCTCTTATAACTGAATCTTATTTGTGTATCAACCTGGTTATTTCCTTTTCTTAAATTTTACCTGCTTTATATGAGCTTATTTCTCTTATCCACATATTGCTTATGAGGGGTCCAAGCAGCAATAATCATTGCTGGACAGCAAGTGTTTTTGTGCTGGATAACAATTGTTTTTGTTGTCATTAGTCTTTCTTTCTTTTTCTTTCTTTCTTTCTTTCTTTCTTTCTTTCTTTCTTTCTTTCTATCGTCTTGTTTTTTTCTCCATCAAAAGTGTTTGTGCAGCAAAAACAGTGAGTCAAAACCTCACCTGAATTGGCAGGTGGGTTGCAATTAAATTCCACCAACTACACAGGCTCAAGAATTGACACTCATTGACCTCTAAATGGCGCTGTAAAAATCACATTTACATTTTTGCAAATACTTTGAAAACAACTTGGCTTAGAGTCAAAATTCTTTTAACATATTAATCTCTCAGTTCATCTGCATCTTTGCTTCAGTGGTCCTATCTTTAAAGATGTCAAATTTTGAGACTTTTTTCAGTTTTTTCCAAATCATATTTTCACAAACTCATCCCAGATTGTTGGTCCAGTCATCCTGAAAGTTTGGCAGGATTATCTGCAGACATAGCTGATCTAAAGTTATCAAGGAAAGTTTGATACATCTATCTGTCAAATTATACATTTTAAACTGATTCTGCGAGGGGTGGCAAATAAAAATACTCCCCTAAATGTCCCTTAAATGTTCTTGGCAAGTGATTATTACAAGGTTATTCCTTTATTGTTTCCCCATTTGTCATCTGATTATCCACATCTGATAATGTACTCTACTTAATGTTTGGTTCATTAAAGTCCCAAGAAAGTCACAAACATGTTTGTACAGAGCATAAGCACTCCGTATTTTATTGTGTGTGTTTCTCTGCCAGCTCCATCATGTGGTGCAAACAGTCATTATGAGGTGTGTGCACCACCCTGCCAGCAAACCTGCAGTGGTCTCACTCCTCCTGAGGGCTGTGATGAGAGTGCAGCCTGCAGTGAAGCCTGTGTGTGTGACGAGGGATTCATGTTGAGTCATGACAAGTGTGTGCCTCTGGCAGAGTGTGGCTGTCAGTACGGAGGACAGTATTATCAAACTGGACAGGTACTATAGTTGCAACAATATCATATGGCACCTCCACAATGCTGCTACAACTGCAGCCTCTGTTACTACTACAACCACTACTACTACTTCTACTGTTAGCACTACTGATATTTCTTCTGTGCTATCTTCTCTTGTCCAAGGTGTTCTATCCAGGAGAGTCATGTAACCTTCGCTGTGTGTGTTCAGAAGGAGGAGATACACAATGTGATTCTAACTTTCAGTGTTCAACCAGCGAGAAGTGTATTGTGGAAGGGGGTTTTGCCTCCTGTTCTCCCAAAACTATTGGTTCCTGTTCTGTAAGTGGAGTCAGGACTGTCAGGTCCTTTGATGGACAGGTAAACTACTTTTTTTGTGAATGAGGCAAAAGTTAGCATGCTATTTAGGAAAATGTGCATCAATGGCATATTGATTTTTTTACAATCTGTTGTAATAACAACCTAATAAATAATTTTCAGAAATATTTCATCATTAAATAATGATTTTATAGACACTGCATTTAGATATACATTATTACCTTTATTTAAATAATACAACCTAAGTATATGTTTATTGTCAGTGCTTTTTTTCTGGTCTACCCTCCAAAATCACAGTTTGTCAGTGATGTCATGACGATCCTTTTCATCAGTGCAATGTTTTAAACTTCTCAACAAGAAGTGCTGAAATACAGTGACGAGTCATGTGTTGCTGTTTTACAAGAAAAGCTTACCACTTCACATGAAAACACATTCAGGACATTTTATTAGCATATTAGAGTCAGTCAGATAAAGCAACTGAGCCAATATATTAGCTGATATGAGCTTATTGTAGATATATCAAAGAATATGTCAACCAAGTGGCAACCAATACAACTGGAGGTAGAAGCCAATCTGAAAGTACCTTAAGGGCCTGTGTCCACATGGCTTTTTGTTTGGTGGTGCTGGCATTGTTTTTCAATTGTTCCTAATGAGGAGAGAGTAAATGTGGCCGCATGTGGCCACCGTGAGAAAAAGTGCCGTGCCCTGGGTCTTTTATTCAACTTTTTTGTGCCGCCACTCTGAGCACTTCAAGTTGAAAATCTCTGAACTTTTCATAAAGGCGCTGCTACTCCTTTAGCTAGGCTACTGTCACAACAAAGACAAAAAAAAGCACATTCGTGGGAGCAGATGAGGTGGCGTACACTGGATGTTGCTCATAAATGCTCTGCTCAGTGGTGGATGAAGTACCTGCAAGCAGTACTTGAGTTTAAGTACAGATATCTTTCCAGAAAATTACTCTGTTAGAGGTTAAAGTCACTTGTTAGAATACTATTTGAGTAAATGTATCTGATGTTTACTGCATAGTATTAAAAGTATTTTTATGATATTAAATGTAAGTATTGAAAGAAAGAGTACAAGTAGGCCTAAAAGCGGGTAATAAAAAAGCAAGAGATCAGAATTCTGAGGATTTTCTTCAGTTGTAGTCATTTCTTCAGATTTCAGATTTCTGGAAATTAAAACTGCTTTGAGAGTACTTGTTTGCACTTGCCCTTATGTGATTAACCTATAAACTTGCATGTAAAGACCATTGAATCACCAAACCTTCAGATTTTATTTTATTAGTAATGTAGTACCAGAAATGCTTTTGACATAGAAATATAAGGATACTGGAGTAAACCTGGAGTGAAACAGTCTTACTTCAATCCATTAAAATGTACTGCACTAAAAGTAAACATTTTATTATTCCTCCACACCAGCGACAGCCGTTACGTGGCCAGGGGCATTATTTTTTTGGATTGTCGGTCTGTTCTTCCGTACGTCCATCCCGTTCTTGTAAACTTGATATCTCGAGAATGCCTTGGGGGAATTTTTTCAAAATTTTTGCATGAATGTTGAAACTTAGATTTAAGGATGAACTGATTAGATTTGAGCGGTCAAAGGTCAAGGTCACTGTGACCTCATCTGTCTCATTCTCATAAACGCAATATCTCAAAAACACCTTAAGGGAAGTTCTTTAAATTTGAAGAAACGTCCACTTGGACTGAAGAATAATCTGATTAGAATTTTGTGGTTGAAGGTCAAAAGTCAAGGTTACTGTGACCTCACAGAATATGTTTTTGGCCAATAATTATGACAAAACTTTACACAAATGTCTTATAGAACCTTTTTTTGTAATGATGTGTTGAGATGAGGCGTTCCCCAGACCCTCGTCACTGCTTATTTGCTGAAGAAAAATACCATGTGGACACAGACCCTTAAGCAGCTATAATCAATACTTTCACAATGATGTAGAATTAACAGTGTGAAAATTTACACTGATAGTGATGTACCTACATAGATTTGTCAACTGAATTTGCAGCTCCCCTTGGCTTTACAGAGCTTTATAGAGATCAGCTCATCATGCTCATAACTTTACTGATCTTGTTCACTCTCACAGCTCTCATAGTGTTGTTTTTGGCCACAGTAGGCAGCTTTTGTCAGCCGACAAACACAGTCAGACACTGGCTGGTGTTGCATTTAGTCATTAACTAAGTTTTCTGTACCTTCAAGACAATCACAGTAGAAGTTCAGACATAACATTTAATATATTCTTATCCTCTAGGCGTATCCTCTGTGGGGCAACTGTTTATTCACATTGGCAGGAGTGGAGGAGAAGGACGGAGGTATGGCAGCCTTCTCTCTATATGTACAGCAGAAAACCCATAAGGATGGTACTGTCGTTCGCAGTGTGGAGTTGCAGGTCTATGACATGGAAATCACTATGGAGACTGGTGTTGTTTGGGAAGTCAAGGTATGAATGACATTTGGCTTTGGCTAGGCGTAAGGTGTGTTTAAGTTAATCCCATACATAATTTTTTGCTGTTAAAGTATTTTAAAAATTTCAAGTCAAATTAATTTTGGCAGATGTGTGGTAAAGCTGCTGTATTTTCGACACAGTGGTCCCCTTGTCCTCTACCATGCAAACTGGTCTGCTGTCCATTCCAATTCATTTTGCAAAGGAGTTAGTTGGTCGGTCACAGGTAGACTTACTCAGTTTGCGTGTGAACACCTGGTCAAGTGTGGCTTGACAAGGCTGACTGCTAGCACTAGCATCAGAGGCTGTGCTAGCTCAGACCTCTGGGTTTGCTGCTAAATGCTTTGTGTTGAGGTGATATTTCAGGCTTTAAGTTCTCCAATGGTACAAAAATTCCTTACTGCTGAAATTGCAGAGAATGGTGCTCCTATCAACTGTTCCCTCTGGAAGTTTTTTAAAGGGGCCAAACAGCATTGTCTCGTCTGCCTCTATCACATAACAAAGCCAGTGTGGCCTTCAGTACATACCACATTTCTGTGATTAATATATATAAAAAAAAGACCAAAAATACCAAACCGCATTTTATGAACATATTACTGGTTATATTTTATAAATAATATATTTCTGTGAGGTTCCAGGCAATGATAAACTCTGGCCTTCAGTGCTGTACAATAATTTGCAACAGCTCCTGAAGTGGGACGGAGCTTACATGGTATCCGTGTGTGTGTGTGTGTGTGTGTGTGTGTGTGTGTGTGTGTGGGTGTGTGTGTGTGTGTGCTCTCAATGTCTCAGGTTGATGACATCAGAGTCTCCCTTCCTGTGTCTCTGGCTGATGGAAAAGTGCGAGCACATCAAAATGGCATCAACATCATCATTGAAACTGACTTTAATCTGAAGCTGAGCTATGACAGTGTGGCAGGCGTGTTACTACAAATCCCATCCACCTTTGGCAGCTCCCTACATGGTCTCTGTGGAAACTTTAATGGTAACCTGACTGATGATCTGGCATCAGGAGGTAAGGGTCCGTCAGACACAGCAGCAGTTTGGGTAGCAAAGAAGGATGACACTCCATGTGACACAAGCTGTGGTGCCAGTTCCTGCCCTGGGCCAGATGAACAGAAGGTCCCAGAAGCCAAAAAGGCCTGTGACATCATCAAAGCTCAGCAAGGCCCATTTGAAGGTTGCCACTCAACAGTGTCCCCAACTCCTAACTACGATGGTTGTGTCAGGCAAGGAAATATTTGAGCATATGTCTAATGTCAAAGTGATGCATTACATACATTAATTCCGCTCCCAGCTAGACATTTCTGTGACTGTGTGAAGTATGTTGTCTTGTCCTTGGTCTCTCAACTCCTTAAGCACTCACACTCCTTTTCTATTGCTGGGACTAAACAGCCTGGAATCTATCTGGAGATTTTTATACCTCCACGTCAGCAATAGCTGTGGCTGGAGGCATTATGTTTTTGAGTTTTCCGATTTTTTTTCCAAATTCGGCACAAATGTATACCTGGACTCAACAATAAATTGATTAGAATTTGGAGGTCTAAGTTCAAGGTCACTGTGACCTTGTATCCGTCTTATTCTTGTGAATGCAATATTCCAAGAACGCCTTGAGGGAGTTTGGCACAAATGTCCACTGGGTCTCTGTGACCTCACAAAACGTGTTTTTGGCCATAACTCAAGAATGGATACACTTAGTATTCATTTCACACGAATATCTAATAGGATAAATTAAGAAAGTGATGACATTTTATATCCTGTAAGAGAAACTTGACTGGTGCACAAAGACATACAACCGTGAGGCTGTGAGGTTTTATTGCATTCTTAACACTAGCCAGCACTTCGGTCCAATCAGATGGCCAAGTCACCAGGAATTATTTGATATTCAAAACTTTCATAACTTGACCTAACATATAGTGTAGTTATGTGCACAGTTTTCCTGCATGATGAGGGAAGATAAACAACTTTATAGTTGCTCTCATTTTCACTTTTACATGCAATCAGAGTGTCTTAGATAGTCTGGCTGAACTGTTGGCTGTCCGATCATATGACACTTTTGTTTCTAGTGTTGTAAGCATTGTCTTCATATTCCCAGATCCCAGACATTTTTATGGTTTGATTATATTATTTTGATGAAAATAAGAGACAAAACTGTAGAAATAAGATCCCAGTCATAAAAAACTAGAAATATCCTTCACCAGACTTGAGTGTCTGTGTTAAGATTGTTTCTGGTGTTTCCTGTATTAAAAGAAAGTTTGTTTCCAGGGAGATGTCCACGGGAAGAGGGGGTGCTGACGTCCTGTGTCGTCACATCCAGAATTATGTTATCGCCTGTCAACTAGCTGGCACCAAGATAAGCAAATGGAGGAAAGACAGCTTCTGTCGTAAGTCTGATCTGATGCTCTGATTCACTGATGTTGAATGTGGCTTAGCCTGATGTTTGGACAGGTTCATTCTCCCATGCCATTTTTATGGTGGCCCATAATGCAAACTACAACAACACTGGACAAAACACTTAAACAAAACAACATTTTGTGTTTTATGCTTTGTGTGTGTGTGTGTGTGTGTGTGTGTGTGTGTGTGTGTGTTGTGGCAATTCTGTTGCCTAGGTGTCTGACCAAACAGGAGAAATAGGGACACAGCATACAACATGCAATACACAGCAACCAGTGTTTCAACCAAAAAAAGAGTCCTTTAATTTTGAAAAGAAGGGAAAAGGAATAGGGAACAGAAAAACACAAATCCTTCCCAGTCCAGGATAATTCAGTCTCTGTACAGGCTTCTTGGTCTTTCTAAGAGAGACAGGAAAGACACACAATGAATAAATCTTGACAGGGAATATTAAGCATTTGTCCTGCTTGGTTGCTTAAGTTGCTGATAGGGGGGTTGCAGATCAGTCCTCTCACCTTTCGCTCTGCCAACTGAGACTGGAGGGGAGCCTTTCAACCCATGCTGGGCTGATTCGAGATAATCTACAGGGGGTTCTCCCCATGACAGAAGCATGTGACGGGGGTAACACATCACACTGTGTTTTCTGTGTGGTTGTTGTGTTTTATTGTTATGCCAACTGTATCATCGCTCTTAATGTCTAATACATAAACTCTTTAACAAGGACATGCTGGATGCTACTGCTTTATTTCTACATGTGAAATCAACCTCACAAACAAAATGGCATTAGCACAGGGGACATGACAATGTTACGCGCTAATAAACTGAGACGCGTCGAGCACTAGGACCACACGGAAAACGGCCGCTCAGACTGAAGCCTGTTATCCCTTTAGAGGGCATGATGACAACCCCAATAGCAAACAAGAGCACAATTAACTGAAGTCAGTGACAAATGAGGGTTGGCAAGATGAGCAATTCAGAAATATCTTAAAAAATAGTTTTAAAAGCATGCACCAGATTTGTTAAAATGTACATTCTGTATTTTTGCTGGATTTATGTCATTTGAAATGACATTTGCACCATTTTCTATCAAAAAATAAAATTAAATATTTTATCCACCTTCAGTAGATTTAAGTGTACTTATAAAAAAAATCTTTATTTTAAAAGCATTAAATTTAAATAAGATGTTTTTGGAGTATTTCTATATTTAGATTTTAATGCATTTTGGCAATATTGAGCAGGACATATCCTAAAAGCACCCCTTTTTTTTTCTAAATAATGCTTGACAAATTATGTAAAATTTGTTTAAAAAAAAACCACAGTGTTGCACTGCAAAAGTGGTTTACATTTATTCCACATTTTACTCCACATTTATTTTCCTGTATATAATCATATTTTTTATGAAAAAATACGAGTTACACCAAATGACACTGGGTTGTGTTATTTAATATAAAAAAGTAATAATATAAGATCATGCCAAACTAGTTGTTACGGTGTTTTATTGATAATTTTAGTGTTTTTAAGCAAGTTTAATTATTTGATGAAAAGTTTTTATGGTTACACCACTCAGACATTTTTGCCATTGGCCTCTAATATATTCTCTCAAAATGTATTAAAAGCAGAAATTTTGTACTGGATCCACACAAAATTAAAGTTTGTAAGTTAATCATACATTTATTTTCAAATTTTAATCCTTTTAAATTTGAGTAAACCATATGGACACAAAAAAAGTAGCGTCACGTCATTGACCCATATATTAACTGAAGGGGGTGCTGTACTAAGACATAAGAGATTGAGTTTTATTAAAACGTTTATTGTTGCATTCTTTGTTATATATTAACAGAAGGGCCTCTAGTTTCGCAGACCGGGTGAGGCGGAGGCACATTGCACCTGCGCTTCGCCCACTGGGTGTGGCCAGGCAGATTTTGCAAGTTTGGCACACAGTGCACGCTGGCGCAGCTACTCCTCTTTCCCACCTATATCCCTCCTACCTGCGCAAGTCGGAAAGAGGGAGGAGAGAAGGTGTGGAGTGGGTTTTATACACATCACACCAATCAAATGAGCCCCTCTCCTCGCCCTTAAATGCGCCGCACGAAGGCGTAATGAGAGTTTACTCAATTTGCCATGACAGAAGAGAGCAGCAACGTCAGACGGCCAAACTCCTCCCAGGAGGAAACTGATGTTTTGGTCCGGGAGGTCCAAGCTCACAGTGTCCGAATATACGGAACTGCGAGCAGACCTCCATGGGCTGATGATGCAAAGGTAGCCTGGGAGGAGGTCACCACAATTGTAAATCAATGTTGTGTTTCTCTCGTGCGCGTGCACTCTCTCTCTCTCTCTCTCTCTCTCTCTCTCTCTCTCTCTCGCAGTCTCACTCTGTTTCTTTTCTTTTGACTTTTCTAAGATGACAGATGCTGAATATATACTCCCTATCTGATGCTGTGGCTGTTTGTGGTTGGCTGAGAGGGATGTGAACTCATTAGTTTGCAGCTGTGATAATCAAATCAGGTTGGGTTTCCATTATGCGTGCCAAATGTGCCAAACGGTGCCAATCCCCTTTGATCTGACATCAGATGTGACAGGACAGTCGATATAGAGATACATTTATGTGCTGATTGCAGATAGTTGCATTGAATAGTGGTTTTTGTGGCTATCTATTGCATGGTTAATGTGCATGACATTCTGGACACCTGCCTGTGAGGTTTTGGTGACGTGTGCGCACTGTCCGCCGGTCAGCCAAACTTCCACAAACTTCCAGTCCGCCTGCGCTGACAGTAGACCTGGTTTCAGCTGGTGAGCTTTTAGCGCACCTTTGGCGAAGCCTTTTGGCACGAAACTGTCACTGCTCTAAGCTGGATCTGTCGACACCTCCCCCCAGCTGCGCCGCCACACCCATCTCAGCGCACCTCGGTCTGCCAAACTACCAAACTGAGCGGGCCTCGGGTTGCGCTGCTCGAAACTAGCTCTGCGCGGGGTTCGCCACCCTGCGCCACCCTGCGCCGCGCTGGGAAACTAGAGGCCAAGGAATTTTACTGTTCATTTTACACATTTTGCTTTATTGCACAATCTTTATTGTTTCTATGCAAAATTTCTCAATTAATTTGATGGCCTGAACTGTACCTGTAATTAACTGAACCTAATTACAGTAAAAGTAACTTTAAAAAGGTGTCTGTGAAATTTCTGTCTATGACAACTTTGTATTTAAAAAGCCTCTATGTTGTAGTTTTATACATATTTTGAACTTCATATTGCTTTGAGGTGTAGGGCAGATATTCATCAATTCAAGCTTTATTTTAACTCTAAATTACACTGAGGGACACCTCTTATTTCCAGTATCGTCAAGTAATAACAGGGCACTGTTCAAGCAATAGGTGTTCAGTTCAAATATATACACATGTAACACAGGAAAGATTATGTAATCACACCATAGGCACCATATCTAAAAAGGCAACAGAAAAAAGGTGGGTTTTAAGGCGTTTTTTTTTTAAACTCTCAACAGAGATGGAGTTTTTTATTGCGGTGAGAAGTTTGTTCCATAATTTGGGGGCCATCACCGAGAAGACATGGTCACCTTTGGTTTTCAAATTAGTCTTGGGGACAGTAAGAAGCCCTGCATGGGATGATCTAAGGGGTCTCACAGGTGTGTGAGGACTAAGCAGATCACTAATATAGCTGGGAGCCAGGCCATGCAGAGCCTTGTAGGCAATTAAAAGTATTTTAAAAATCAATTCTAAATTTAACAGGTGACTAGTGCAGAGTGGCCAGGATAGGTTATGTGAGAGCGGCATGAAGACTTGGTGAGAACCCTTGCAGCAGCATTTTGCACTACCTGTAATCCATTCAGAGAAGTTTGGGAG